AATATGGAAAATAGGTGTAAGAATATGTCCTTTCTCTACATTGTGTATGTTTTAAACTCAGGACCTTCACACAGGAGTCACGTGTGAAACCAAGTAAATTATGAGTTATTTAGTGTTTTCAGTTAAATAGCATTACTGACTTGCGTAACGTACTTACTTAAACCTAAACCACCATGTTTTCCTAAACCTAACCAAGAAGTTTTGTCCAAGAGTATAAAAGCAAAGAGGCAAATCCACACACATAGACACAGCCCAAACATATTCACATATTCATTCATAGTCATTTCAAAAAAGAGGAACAAAAGAGGAACAAAAAGAAGAACTGTATGAAACGTCATGCTGTAACAACAAATAAAACTGTTTGATTAAGTGCTTTTATTTTGGTTTACAATCTGTTTTTGCAATTTAAACACATTTTTTCATTAGTGTGTAATCATGAGGTGGATGAATAAAATTTCAATAAGAAATTTTTAACGTAATCAATGATTTTGATATTTCATGCAAATATACATAGTAGATTCCACAATATTTTGCGATTTTAAAAGTTCTGCAATTCAGGCCGTGTTTTCTGCATCATGGAGATCACAGGGCCGTCAGGAACTGTTTCATGAGACATGTTGTTGCCTACAACATCACACTGCCAGGTTGCAAAGCTCAACTTATTTGGCTTGCTTCTTTTCTAACGCGGTATAAAGGCTCTGAAGGAAAATCTTCACTCACCTCCTTCTGCAGAGACAACATCCAGAGAAAACTCCAGACCACCAGAGACACAGAACAGCCGACCACCATCATCTCCTGGATCCATCGGTTCTGTTCATAGACTCGAAAAATGAGCAACAAGGTCTGACATGTGGAAGCCAATCATCCTGTTAGCTGCTAGAGAAACACAGACCTGCTTGGCACCAAACTGTCATAGTTGGGGATTTTTTAGCTTACCTGTACATGTTTGATCTTGCTTGTAACCACTCCTGTTAGTCTCCTGCTGCCTGGTTTGTCTTCACTTCTCTGAAGTCAGTTTCCCTGTAAAACATTTGATGGTTCTCATCTGTGAAGATTTGCTGCTTTTCCTTTGAATGATTGTAGATCAATTAAACCTTATGTATAATTCCATGATGTGGTCGTTTTAGACGACTGTTTCATAGGATGCTTTATTCTTCTGCCATTACCAGGCGAGCAAACAACAAATTAAAGTTCTTCACTTCGTACACATCTTCATTCTGTATGCTTCAACATGGAAATAGATTTTCCTTATTATGTTTTCTATGATCCTACATCAACAACATTTCCTTCCTGCTTTACTTTGATTTATGTTTTTTTTCCATTTCTCCCAAATTTCCTTTTAATTTCGTCCCTTTTATATATTAATATCAGGTGCGTTTGACTTCATGCGGCGCTGCACAGCGCTGACGTGATGCATGCTGGACTTAAAATAAGGCATGCTGGTTAGAAATCTTGTACGACTTTTGCCGGCACTGCAAAACATCACCATGTCACATGACATTAAAACCTCGCAGGAGCAAGGCGACTGCAGGCGCCGAGTCCCGCGGCCGTAGTTGCTTTTCTCAAAGCTGGAACCACACTTTTGCCAAGTCTCGAGGTATTTTTCTTTGCAATTGCCGCGAGATCAGAAATATCATCTTCTTTAAAGCTTCAGTGTGTAAGCTTTAGTGACATCTAGTGGTGAGTGTTGCAAATTGAAGCCAGTGGCTCACGTGCATTCAAGTGCTCCCAGAGTTGTGAAGTCGTTCTTCCGACTTCACTGTGTGTGTTCATGGGCTTTTAAGTCGAAATGTGGAATCAACATGGACGCTACTACAAAGATGTGTTGGATTAACATTATCAGAGCATATAACAACACGCAGACATCTAGATTACTCTACATGGACAACAAACTAACTGTTTTAACCATCAGCGTCGCCAGGTCATTTTTCCGGGGCTTTGGCCACAAAAATATTGACCGTATAATATGCAATAATCCTCATGACACAGCCTGTCTCGCAGGTCTTATAAGAACGCAGGCTACTCATAATAATATTGTTACATTTTGTTTGATGTTCATGTGACATGACCCCCCCACCGTTACTCAGCCCACCTGCAGAAAGAGAGAGAGCACGGGCGCGTATTTGCTCCATAGACTGTATATAAGAAGTGGATGTAGTCATAGCGACATCATTCGTTGGATGGTGGACTGCGTATTTGGAGCCTCGAGTTTGGCCGATAGGGCGTCGCCATGTTGAGTTTTTGCAACCAGCGGCACCGGATGTGACCATATTTGGACGAAACGGAGGAGCTAACAGCCGTGTGTGAGCTAGCTAGCTTGCTTAGCCAGATGCCTCTGTTACTCACGTTAATTCACGTTAACTGTCATTTTAACAGGGCTGATAACTTTGTCTAGCAAACAGTCTTAAAACTAAATGTAATAATGTAATAATGCCGTCCTGAAACATACTCTGCTTTATGGTCTATTTAAAAATTAAATGGGACCATAATTTACTAAATGAACATCATTTTGTATTGAAGAAAACTTGAAACTAGCGACTGAGACCATAAACTCATCAGGAGTTTTACTGAGGTAATAAATCAGCTGAGACGTAGGGTCATTTTCCCATTATGTCTAATGCAACCAGACTTCTTTTTGCAACCAGAAGAGTTCCCCCCCTGCTGGCCATTCAATAGAATGCAGGTTTAAGGGACTTCAGATCGCTCACCAGAAGCTTCCCGCTTGATTTGCTCACAGCTTCAGGACTAGTCATGGGCTTCTGAATTGTCTCTATAGCAAAAATTTATCAAAACATTTACAAATGTTGTTGTTGTGTCTAGTTAGTGTATTTGCTACAAAAAAAGGTTAACAGTCCACCACACAGTAATAATAAATAATATCTATGAAGATTCTCAGTCATCCAGGTCATAGTTATCCAACGAAGGTTAAAATGAAGGGCAACTGGACTTGGTTGAAGCTACTGGAAAGCTACTTCCAGTAGCTTCAACCAAGTCCAGTTGCCCTTCATTTTAACCTTCGTTGGATAATAATAATAATAATAATCCTTATTTGTAGAGCACTTTTCAAAAACAAGTTACAAAGTGCTTTAACAAGTTTAAAGAATAATACAAAAAAAACAAGATAAGAGCATGAAAGTTTAATATAAAATTAGTGAAATACAATAATAAAAAAAAAGAATAAAAAAAAAAAAAGGGAGAAAATAAAGTCAAATAAGATCGGGAAAGGCTCTCCTATAAAAGTATGTTTTAAGAAGGACTTAAAAGTGTTCACTGACTCAGCCGACCTGATTTCCTCAGGCAGGCTGTTCCAGAGCCTCGGGCCCTGACAGCAAACGCTCTGTCCCCTTTAGTTTTCAGTCGAGACTCTGGAACAGACAACAGACCTCTGCCCGAGGATCTCAAGGTATGTGCTGGTGCGTATGGGACTAAAAGGTCAGAAATATAACAAGGCGAGAGGCCATGAAGAGCTTTAAAAGTGATCAATAGAATTTTTAATTCAATTCTAAAACATACTGGGAGCCAGTGTAATGAAGCTAAAATAGGAGTAATGTGGTCATATTTCTTTGTTCTGGTTAAAAGCCTGGCAGCTGAGTTCTGGACAGTCTGGAGTCGATCAATAGATTTTTGGGTTAAACAGGTGAAAAGGCTGTTGCAATAATCCAGGCATGATGAGATGAAGGCGTGTAAAATGGTCTCGGTGTCCTTAAAAGTTAACATAGATCGAATTTTTAAACAAAATGGGTCCTAAGACCGACCCCTGAGGCACACCATATTTAACTGGACAGAATGAAGAGACATAGTTGTTTACAGACACGCAAAACTTCCTATTTGACAGGTAGGATGAAAACCATTCTAAGGCAGTACCCCACCCAGTGCCTCAGTCTGTCTAACATGATGTTGTGATCAATGGTGTCAAAAGCAGCGCTAAGGTCCAGGAGTACAAGGACTGAGCACATGCCTTCATCAGCAGACATTAGTGAGAGAACAACTTGACACACCTGAGCGCAATGAGATTTCTGTCTGATCAGATGTGTTTTCAGTTTTGGTTTTCAACCTCTGATGAAAAGCAGTGAGCTTTTCTCATCCAGACGGGCTCTGTGTCTGTCAGATGGTCTAAAGCGGGTAGCCTACTACCATATCAGCAGAGCAATAACGCAGACTAATGCACAGCAGAGGTGCAGGTAGCTGGTGTTAAAATATTATATACTTCATTCTCATTGGATTAACATTTTATTCTCGTAATGTTACAACTTTTGTCTCAAATTATTATTCTGCAAATAAATAGTAGAAAATGCAAAGGGAGCATAAAACAGACATTAAACATTAAAACACACACATAAATAAATACATTTTAAAAAGAAGTATTTAACAAAAAAAGTTTAAGATTATAACGTACAATAAATTAATAAAGTAATTAATACAAAGGTGAATAAATAAATAATCTAATTAAAATGTATATATATATATATATACATACATTTACGTCTCATTGTATAATTTAATTACTGCCTATATTTATTATTGTACTGTATTTTTTGTGCATTTAATCAGATGTTTATTTATTGAGCATTAATTAATTTCAGTATTTATTTTTAAATCTGTCAGAATCCGTCCTTGATAATCATGATTGAAGGCTACATAAAATATGTATGATCAAATTATAAAGTCTGACATTTTGTTGTAAAGTACCCAACAGTCTATAATGTTCTAAAATGAGCTCCATCTCAACCATCTGAGTGTCACTGCATCAATATAACTCTCTCAGAGGGGTTTCTCTGCCCAACAAGTACTTTTACTTTTGATAATGTAAGAATTATTGTTCTTGTACTTTTAACTATAACAAAGTATTTTTGCAGAGTAGTATTGCTGGTATATGAGTACTTCTTACACAACTAGAATGAAAGAGCACTGATGGTGTTGCAGCTCCCTCTGCAGGACAGAAGCTGAAAACAAAGATCTATTTTACTTAGTCTCTTCACAAACAGCAAAACTCCATGAAGTCAGATAGAAAACATAATTTATTAGATAATACAAAAAGTATAGCTGAACAAAGATAGTAAACAAAATAAACAGAAGCATTATAAATACAAATGGTAAAAAAAAATAGATGTGTATAAAAACTATACAGTATATAAAAAGCAACAACAACATACGATGTCTATTATGACAATCTGTTTCTGAACATTTTAAACAAAGGTTGCTGCATCACAGGCAGAAACTAACTGCTCACCAACAGATTGTTTTCATTTTCATTTTCAAACTTTAACCCCAGCGACGCTGACTCAAGAGACATAACTGGTGGACATTTATCAGACTCCAGACAGCTCCCCCTGGGACACTTAAGAGTGCTGATGTGTGAAATGTTATTCGTCTTAAAGGCACGTGAGCTCATCACATACAGTCTAGTGCTCAACGTTATTAACAGCTGATTGTTCATTATGGAGTCGAACGTTTGCTTCTTCCTCCCGTTGAGTTTGTCTCGTCAAACCATTCTTCAAGTTGATCTTTCTACAAACAACTGAACAGAATTCACTGGTTAAAAACATCAAAGTGCAACTCAAGACAAACTTTCATTTATGCGTCTTTAGGATAAAGAACAAAATAAATTCATGCAGCAAACATGAAGCCTTCATTTCATTTGGTTAGATTTTCTTTTTTATCTTCAGACTGCTGAGCCAGAATCAATCTTGTACATGATGTTACACTCTGCTTGTGTCTTATTTAGGTCAACATTTTATTAGAGACAGCAGTTCATTTAAACTTAAGGGTTTATTTTAGTAATTATTGATTAATGAGATGAATTACTTTTCCTGCAGTGCAAATGATTTAAATGTGAACTCACTGTGAAAGAACTCTTCTGTATTCAGTACAGACGATATACTTACCCCGACAAAGTTTCATTGCTCTGTGTCTGGTCTTCTTCCTCTCTTCCTTTCTGTCCAACACACATCATCATCATCATCATCATCATCATCATCAGTACAAACAACATACACAATAAATAATTATCAGGTGAAGACAGAATGTGTTTTCTTACCTTTTTTTTTGTAGTACAGCACAACAAGTCCTGCTGCTAGAACTACAAACAAAATGGCTCCAACCACCAAACCTACATTAAGACGTGTGACACCAGTTTGACTCCCTGAAACAGAAAAAGATTCAGTTAATTGAACTTTCTACTAACCAAACTTCCACGAGTGGACTGACTGATAATTACTGTAGCATCAACATGTGAGGTTGCAGTCTGTTAATAATGCTCAATAATGTTCATGTTGTCAGGTGGGAATCACACCTTCAGTGTTCGCTCACAGAGCAGAAACGTGTTCATTTGTACAAACATATGAATCCACAAGGTTTCCTCACACTGATCACTCAGACTCTTTATGGTACTCTACAGGCCATCTGAATACTGAATATCTTTAATTTCTCACTTACGTCAGGCACCATGTGGTTAAACTTCTAGTTTAGAAACCACACCATGAATAATTATCGACCATCCTCTTACCTTCCAGTTGTTTCAAAGGTATTTTGAAAGAGTTGTGTCTCAGCAGCTCTCGGTCCAAATATTTAACAGTAATCTTTTTGAACCTTTACAGTCAGCTTTCACAGCCTGAAACTGCACTTACTAATGTGCTGAATGATCTTCTGCTTATTGTGGATTCAGATTCCAACTCAGTTTCTTCTGTTACTGGATCTGCAGCTCAGATCACTTTATACAACTAGACAGAGTGATAAAATGACTATGGCAGCTTCGGTCTGGCTCTCTGGTAGTTTCCTATAAAAGATGATTTTCTGATGTTGTACCTCAGGGCTCTGTTCTTGGCCCTCTGCTTTTCTGTCTTTTACCTCTTGGCAAAATATTCAGTCATGTAGTTCTTTCCAGTGCTTTGCAGATGGTACTCAGCTGTATGAGCCCGTACAGCCAGATGATCTTATTAATTACAGGCCTGCTAGTCCGCCATGAAGAACTGGATGTCACATAATTTCTTGCTCCAAAATTCCAATAAAACTGAGATGCTGGTTTTGCTGATCGTTTAAATGACAGAAACATTCATTTAGACTTGATCTTACTTTCCTCTATCCTCAGCAGGGTGTTGGTTATGTTTGTCTCCTCGTCATCGCTGAGTTCACAGGTGTATATCCCCTCCTGTTTCAAAGACAAGTCTTGTAGTGTGAGGCTGCCTGACTCAGACACACCCTTCACCTGCTGCCTCCACTCCTCTGAGACTGTGTAGGGGACGCTGGTCCTGGTCCGGTTCAGGATGATCTGACTGCGGTTGAATCTCCAGACGAGGCTGAAGTTCAGAAGGGAAGTGTTTGAGGCAGAGCAGAGGATTGTTGTGTCAGAGCTGGAACCATCGAGAGAAGCTGAAAAATAAAATAAAACAACAAATGAATAAACAGATCAAAATGCCTGTGAATCAAATGATAAAGAAACACATATTGAGACACTGTCAGATAATAAAAGGTTTGATGTGTTTGTTTGCTAAATTAGTTTGCAGTATCTAAACCACTAGTGAAAAGGTAAAAAGGTTCTTACAGTAGTTTGTTGTTGTGTAGTTGCAGGAATCTTTTAAATCAGTGCAGACACCAACCTGGTTTATTGGTTTAGTTGACAGATTAGACGTAATACTCACTCAGTTCCCTCAAAGTGGCTCTCCTCTTGTTCCTGCGAGTGCTGACGGTGCAGCTGTAGACCAGATCAGTAACCCTGTCTGAAAGTATCAGAGAGCTGTTGATGTTGTAGAGCTGCTGTTCACTCTGCTGGACTCTGGTTGGGTTCTTGAAGGCCACGTTGGACGGAGGTCTGGTGGACCAGGTGAGTTCAGGCTCAGGGTAGATCCCTTCTGAGCTGCAGGTGATCCTGTTTTCTTCCTGCTCCATGTCGACTTTATGGACCGGAGCTGCAAAAACAGAGATCTTGATGCTGTATGTACGGATGAATTCACTATTAGTTTTATGTATGTTTGTGTATCTACTGTGTGTTTCTCGTACCGTCCACTTGTAGGTTGATAAATGACGCCTTGTTGCCTCTGATGATGCTGGTGAAGCACTTGTATCTGCCTTGGTCCTGAATCTGGACCTCTGTCAGTCGGAGCGAACTGTTTCCTCCAGAGATCTGGTCCTTGAACAGTGATGTCCTGCCTCTGAAGTGCTGGCCCTGGTATCCCAGCTGGTCTTGGTTGTTGTAGTAGGAGTGGACAGGAGAGTTTCCTGCTGTCACCAGAGTCCAGTGGATGACTGCATCAGTGCCGCCCTGGAAGCTGCACGGTAAGATGCAGCTCTCCATAAAAACACAGGACACCTCAGCATCTGCAACACATCAGGTACAAACAACATCTTTATTGTACCAATTCGTTCTCACTCTCAAGCCGTCATTTTTGAACACTTAAGGTAGGTGTATAATATATAACAGTGAAGTCTGAGTAAGGAGGTGACTGACGTGGACAGATCGGCCATAAACTGAAATTTCATGTAGGAGGCCGATGTTTGCTTCTTATGTGAAACAAAAAGTGTTAAGTGTTGCGTAGGTTATGAAAGTTGTGAAGGTTACACATGTAGCGTTGATTAATGGTGTTATTTTAATCCAAACTAGGAAGTTTTTCCCTCAATCAAATTTACAACGTTAGCCATTAGTTTTATTTTGAAAGTCTAACCAGACGTAGCCTATTTATTATTGCTATCTTGACCGGACGTTGTGTATTGATTGTTGCTAACTTGACCTGGGTACCAAGGGGGTTACAAAGCGACACCAAATGGTCTTGACAAAGCGTAGTGTTCACTGTGAGTTTTTAAAATCTGAGAGTAAATGTGTGCTATAAATAGATCATAATAAAAAGCTATTAAATTGAGATATTATATACCTTCCTGCCCAGTCCCAAGGGGGCGGGGTTTAGCCTCAACCTGTCAGGCCACACCTGAACTGATAAGAGGCATGATGAGGCTCTGCTCAGTCACTTTCCCTTTGTTTGCATGAAGTCTTGCTAATCCTTTCCAGTTGACTGTTAACTGGATGCATTATTTGAGTAAGTTCTGTATATTTGTTAAAGTTATTGCTGTTTCCTTGTTCAATAGTGAAAGAGTGCTTTAATTTGATTATGACCTGTAGCCTACCTTCTGTCTACTGATTGCTTTCATTTGCCTTTTAGCTGTTCAATCATCTGTCAGTCAACTATTGAAGTGGGAAACTTTAAAAGGACAATAAAATGTTGAACAGCTCAAATCTCTGGTCCTCATACTTTAACTGGTGTGCATTATCCAGCTTCCATAAAGGCAAGTTTCTACAGCTTGAAACAATGAAATACTTGTTTTATAACCAATTTATAGCTAAAATCAAGACCTGTCACCCAGCAGGGTGGTTAGGGTGGACGGACGGATCCTTTCCTTGATCAATTATATTTCTATAGTCTGTAAGAGTCCGCCAATCAAAAGAATCAAAACAATTTTTCACAAGTAAAAATCAAATGGGAGCGCGCTCAGGGCTGAATCTTGACCCGATATCTTCTATAGTGTGATGTAGTTGAATAGTGGATGATGCAAGCAACAGAGAAAACAGGCGTGTGCTTCATTTCTAAGTGAGGCTACAGCCCTTTGACAACAAGGCAGTAAAAATTTGACTTATTAATAAGTGATTTCAGGTGGAAAGAGTACAAAAATATTCTACTTTAGTAAAAGTACAATTACTTGGATGAACTTTTACTTAAGTACAAGTAAAATTACTGGTATAAAAATCTACAAAAGAAAAATAAAAAGTAGCTCATTTAAAGTAGTTAGTTACTTTTTTAAACTGCTAAAAATCTTGTTATACTTATTTAATTAAATTGTGGTCTTTTGTGACTTGATAAGGGAACGAATTATAGCCTCTTATGCTTTCAATTTTAGTTTGTTTGGCAGATACTTTATCAAATCAATGGCTAAAAACAAAATTAGATATTGTTTAATTACATGTAACTAGTTACTTCCCAACACTGGTAACTGGAATATAATATTTATTATATGCCTAAACTAGTGGTAAACTATACAGTAAATGAAAGTTTATTGAATATGCTGAGATTATCTAAGTAATATAGTAACATTATACTGACAGCTAACTTGAATAACATCAGGTCCAGTGATCTGCCGCCCAGTTGTGCATTCACGACAAAGCATTCAGTAACTGAGTACAGCAGCGTTATTTGGATTAGTAACTGTAATAATATTGCTGTTTTGGAAATAGTAATCTGTTACACTACTAGTTACTGGGAAAATGAGTAAATGTAAAATGAGTAAAGTAATATTATTATTAGGGAAACACTTTTACCACCCTCCCTCCTCTGAGGGAGTAAACACAGCCTACAGCTCCACACTGCTCCCCACCACATTTTGAAATGGCTGATTTTGTCCCCATCAGTTTTTGAAAGCATTTGTTAAAAATATGTTGTATGTAAACTGTTAAAATGTAAATGCTTTGAGAAAGGCTTTTTTGCACAATAAGAAAATTTGCAATGCAATATAGTATTCACTTTAATTGGAGCAGAAATGTCTCCAGAATGCAGGAAATTACGAGTTGAATGCTCAAAATCTTCTGGGGGAGGAGCCCCAGCCTCCCTGGACATATATCTCTGCATCTAAATAGTGCTAAAATTTTTCTCATCATGTTCTCGTGCACGATCATGTCTCATGACCCAAATGTATCATCACGCCCCAATCTGAGCCCGTATGTCCCCACAACTTTTCAACACAATGACGTGTTCACTCCCCCAGATTATATGACAGCCCCTTCAGGCCTGTGACTCTTTCCCTCCAAATGATTCCAGGAAGAACCAACAGAGACTTAAATATGGACATTTCACCTTTATAATATTTGTATGTATGGCATGTTATTATGCTATTATCATGTTATTATGCTAGATTTTTAATTGAGGAGAAAGGAGTGAAATGCCAGACTGTGGATGCATCAATGATGTAACTTAAAACGATTATCTAATATATTTGTTTAATACTATTCAGATGTATTTTCTTTCAAAATTCCCTTTGTATACAAAACATCATCCACCATCCTACTGCTAACCATTTTATTCACCTTTGACTACAATAAACTGTTGGACCGATTACAATCTGTAGCCTATCACTCTTTATTAATGTATTACCAACACTGAAACTATGAATTCATGTCATGGGTGCTGACGTATTGCGGTAAGCGTGTCGACTCATTTCCGTTTCCGGTGCTTGTGTGTTGGTACCGTGTTGTGCTGCTCTCGCTAAATAACAGTTACATTTGTTTGATTACAGCGGCCAACTGTTCGCTAAACACTTATTCTTTACAGTAATTTTGCCTAAGCACTCACAGTTCTTTCCATCTTTTAGTGACTGCTGTTCAATCTCATAGTTGTTCTAAAGTTTTGGTAACTGACGCTACAGTAATTTAGCTTAGCCGTTAGCGACTTTAGCTTAGCAGCTAGCGATGGCTTCTCCTTCTCCCTCTCTCTCTCCTACTTTCTCCTGCTCGGTGTGTCAGATGTTCAGTTACTCCTCTGCCTCCTTTAGTAATGGTACGTGTAATAAGTGTAGTTTATTTATAGACATGGAGGCGAGGCTCAGTGATTTAAAAGTCCGGCTCCGCACCTTGGTAGATCAGTCTTTAGCTACTGTAGCTAGCCAGTCCCCGGTAGTCGGTGCGGAACGGCCTGAGTTAGCCTCTGGTAGCCGCCCCCCGGGATTTCCTGAGCAGCCAGGAAAGGGGGGGGGGGGGGCTGGGTGACTGTCCGAAGGAGGAATAGTTGTAAGCATTCAAAGTCCACGGGGCATCATCAACCTGTTCACGTTTCTAACAGATTTTCCCCACTCAGCGACACACCCGCTGAGAAACCAACTGTGATCACTGGCAGCTCCATTTTGAGAAACGTGAATTTAGCGAAGCCAGCGGCCATAGTTAAGTGCATCCCTGGGGCCACAGCGGGCGACATTGAGTCTTATTTGAAACTGCTGGCTAAGGATAAACGTAAATACAGTAAGATTGTTATTCACGTCGGCGGTAATGACTCCCGGTTACGCCAATCGGAGGTCACTAAGATTAATGTTGAGTCGGTGTGTACATATGCAAAAACAATGTCGGACACCGTAGTTTTCTCTGGACCCCTGCCAAATCTGACCAGTGATGACATGTATAGCCGCATGTCGTCATTCCGCCGCTGGTTGTCGAGGTGGTGTCCAGCAAACGATGTGGGCTTTGTTGATCATTGTCTGATCCGGAGAGACGGCATCCATCCCACTTGGGAAGGAGCAGCTCTCATTTCTAGAAATCTGGCCAAGTTTATTAGTGGACCAAATCCATGACAACCCAGAGTTGAGACCAGGAGGCAGAGTCGCAGTTTAAACACTTCTCTGCCCTTCTTTTTCAGCAGTTACCCACCCAAAACCCTACGCAGAGTCGCAGTCTAACACACTTCTCTGCTCCTCCATTTCAGGAGTTACTTAGTGAAAACCCTATAGTAAAAAGGTAAACAGAAGAGGAGCTGTGCATAAAAACCTCATAAAAATTAAAACCACAAGAGCAATAGTGCAAACGAATAGGAGAGTTAAATGTGGACTCTTAAACATCAGATCTCTCTCTTCTAAAGGTGTACTAGTAAATGAACTAATATCAGATTATGATATTGATTTATTTGTCTTAGTGAAACCTGGCTGGGTGATGGAGAATATGTTAGCCTAAATGAATCCACCCCTCCCAGTCATATTAATACTCACATTCCTCGAGGCACAGGCCGAGGAGGTGGAGTTGCAGCTATCTTCGACTCTAGCCTACTAATCAGCTCTAAACCTAAACTAAACTATAACTCATTTGAAAGTCTTGTTCTTAGTCTTTCGCACCCAAGTTGGAAATCACTGCAACCAATTCTTTTTGTTATAGTGTACCGAGCACCTGGCCCGTACTCTGAATTCTTATCTGAATTTGCAGAGTTTTTGTCAACTTTAGTCCTTAAAACGGACAAAGTTATTATTGTAGGGATTTTAATATTCATGTGGATGTTGAGAATGACAGCTTTAGTACTGCGTTTATCTCTCTGTTAGATTCCATCGGCTTCTCTCAGAGTGTTCATGAACCGACTCACTGTTTTAACCACACCCTCGACCTTGTTTTGGTGTATGGTATTGAAATTGAACATTTAGTGGTGTTCCCACAGAATCCCTCTTTATCCGACCACTGTTTGATAACTTTTGAGTTTGTATTGCTGAACTACTCGCCATTGGGCAAAAATTTCTATACAAGATGTCTGTCTGATAGTGCATAGCTAAATTTAAGGATGCGATTCCATCAGCTCTAAATACATTATCTAGTCACAAAGTAACGGAGGACTCCTATGCTAATTTCAGTCCCTCCCAAATCGATCATCTTGTTGATAGTGCTGCAGGCTCGCTGCGAATGACACTCGACTCTGTAGCCCCTCTAAAAAAGAAAATACTAAAACAAAGACGGTTAGCTCCATGGTATAATACTGAAACTCGCAAATTAAAGCAAATATCACGGAAACTTGAGAGGAATTGGCGTTCCACCAAAGTGGAAAATTCTCGTTTAATTTGGCAAGATAGTCTTAAAACTTATAGGAAGGCCCTCCGTAATGCCAGAGCAGCGTACTACTCGTCATTAATAGAGGAAAATAGGAACAACCCCAGGTTTCTTTTCAGCACTGTAGCCAGGCTGACAGAGAGTCACAGCTCTATTGAGCCAAGTATTCCCATAGCTCTCAGTAGTTACGATTTCATGAGCTTCTTTAATGATAAAATTCTAGCTATTAGAGACAAAATTCACCAAGACCTGCCCTCAATTGGCACCGACTTATCTCTTAACTCAGGAACCTTAGAAACAGCTGTAGAACCAGATACATGTTTAGACTGTTTTGCTTCCCTCAATCTTTACCAACTAACTTCAATAATTTCTTCATCTAAACCATCAACCTGCCTCTTAGACCCCATCCCGACTAGGCTGCTTAAAGATGTTTACCCTTAGTCAGCACCTCTATACTAGATATGATCAATCTATCTTTATCAACAGGCTATGTACCACAGTACTTTAAAGTAGCTGTAATTAAACCTCTTCTGAAAAAGCCCAAACTTGATCCGGATGTTTTAGCCAACTATAGACCTATATCTAACCTTCCATTTCTCTCTAAGGTTCTGGAGAAAGCAGTTGCTAAACAGCTGTGTGACTTTCTACAGAGCAATAGTTTATTTGAGGATTTTCAGTCAGGATTTAGAGCTCATCATAGCACAGAGACAGCACTGGTGAAAATTACTAATGACCTCCTTATTGCATCAGACAAAGGACTTGTCTCTGTACTGGTTTTATTAGATCTTAGTGCTGCATTTGATACCATTGACCATCAGATCCTATTGCAGAGACTGGAATATTTCATTGGCATTAAAGGAACCGCTCTAAGCTGGTTTAAGTCCTATTTATCAGATCGATTTCAGTTTGTACATGTTAACGATGAGTCCTCCATGCACGCCAAAGTTACTCATGGAGTTCCTCAAGGATCTGTCCTTGGACCAATCCTCTTCACTTTATATATGCTTCCTTTAGGCAATATTATCAGGAAACATTCCATAAGCTTTCATTGTTATGCAGATGATACTCAGTTATATCTATCGATCAAGCCAGATGAAACTCATCAGTTAGCTAAACTTCAAATGTGCCTTCAGGATGTTAAAACCTGGATGACCTGTAATTTTCTCATGTTAAACTCAGATAAAACTGAAGTTATTGCTCTGGGGCCTAAGCACCTCCGTGACGCATTATCTAAAGATATAGTTTCCCTGGATGGCATCGCCTTGGCCTCCAGCACCACTGTGAGGAATCTTGGAGTTATCTTTGATCAGGACATGTCGTTTAAGTCTCACATTAAGCAAATTTCAAGGACCGCCTTTTTTCACCTACGTAATATTGCGAAAATCAGGAACATCCTGTCTAAAAATGATGCAGAAAAACTAGTCCATGCATTTGTTACTTCTAGGCTGGATTACTGCAATTCCTTATTATCAGGCTGCTCGAAAAAGTCCATTAAGACTCTTCAGCTGATCCAGAATGCTGCAGCACGTGTTCTGACAGGAACCAGGAAAAGAGATCACATTTCTCCTGTTTTAGCTTCTTTGCATTGGCTTCCAGTAAAATCCAGAATAGAATTTAAAATCATTCTTCTTACCTACAAAGCTCTTAATGGTCAGGCACCATCTTATCTTAAAGAGCTCATAGTACCTTACTACCCCACCAGAGCACTGCGCTCCCAGAATGCAGGGTTACTTGTGGTTCCTAGAGTCTCCAAAAGTAGACTAGGAGCCAGAGCGTTCAGCTATCAAGCTCCTCTCCTGTGGAACCAGGTTCCAGTTTGGGTTCAGGAGGCAGACACCATCTCCACATTTAAGAGTAGGCTTAAGACTTTCCTCTTTGATAAAGCTTATAGTTAGGGCTGGCTCAGGTAGTCCTGAACCATCCCTTAGTTATGCTGCTATAGGCCTAGACTGCCGGGGGATTTCCCATGATGCACTGAGCTCCTCTCTCCTCTACTTTCTCTCCCTCTGTATGCAACCTCATCCCATTATTGCATGTTACTAACACAACTTCTCCCCTTTCTGGTAGTCTTGTGCTTTCTCGTCTCTCTCCTCTCTCCTCCTATCACTTCCTGCAGGTTTTCTGGCTCTGGAGCTGTGGAGTCTGGATCTGTGGCTGCGGGTCACCTGCTGCCCCCGTGTTCCTGCTCGACACCCTCTGCTGCAACGACTATTGTTGCTAGTCTTATTGTTATTATAATCATTAACATTACGATGGTTACCATTAACACTATTATAAATATCTGTACCATTTTTCATTTAGTCTATAGCAACATTACCTTCACTGTGTGTACCTCTGTGTGTATATTGTGTAGGCTGCCTCCCTCCCCTCTCTCTCTCTCTTACATCTCTCTCTCCTCTCTCTCTCTCTCTCTCCTTCTCTCTCTCTCTCTCTCTCTCTCTCTCACCCCAACCGGTCGAGGCAGATGGCCGCCCACCCTGAGCCATGGTTCTGCTCGAGGTTTCTGCCTCTTAAAAGGAAGTTTTTCCTTGCCTCTGTCGCCTAGTGCTTGCTCTTGGTGGGAACTGTTGGGCTTCTGTAAATACATCACAGAGTACGGTCTAGACCTGCTCTTTTATGAAAAGCGCTGTGAGATAACTGTTGTTGTGATTTGGCGCTATATAAATAAAATTGAATTGAAATTGAATTGAATGTCCTGTTTCTGGGCTAAATGCCATTCTGTTAAATGCAGGGCAACTTTGTCCTGATAACAGTTACTGTAGGCTAAACTGTATGTGACACCCTTATAACATTATGAACATTAGAATATAAGTTTCCCATTACTACTTAGCTTCAGGCAGCAGTGCGATCTGCTTTGCTGTAGTCTGGATCTAAGTTATTAAGTACATGCAGTTGGCTCGGAGAAGGTTTATCTGTTAAGTCTAGTTTTGCAAGCCGCCCCTGGCTCCTATTTCTTGTTCAACATCTGTCTTCTTTTCTAACGCAGTATAAAGACTCTGGACGCTCTTACCTTATTTGTGTATCTCTGAAGTAAAAACTTCACTCACCTCCTTCTGCAGAAGCTAACATCCAGAGAAAACTCCAGACCACCAGACACACAGAACAGCCGACCATCATTTTCTATTCTCTGTATGTTCTTTCACATTAAAACAGAGAATGATAACATATCCAGTGTGACCGACATCCTTTTCTGTTTACTCAGGCACTTTATATTGCCCTTTTCCTTTCCCCTCGTTATCCCTGTCCTAGTTGTTGTTTCTGTCTTGCCTTGTGTTTGTTTTACTCCCACTAAATTCCTGTCTGTAAGTTGAACCTGTCACCACATGTTTGCAGCTGCAGCTGTAAGTCAGTTTTTCATGCAAAAGCATTTGATGGTTTCACTTTCTCACATGTAAAGATTTGCTGCTTTTCCTCTGAATGATTATAATAATTGTATGTTTGTTAATAATATTGAGGTTTGGACACATCAAGCTTTGTGAATATGCAACAAATCTTTACAACCCAAGTCAGCCATTCATGGAGAAGATAATCAGTATATTAATACATAAAAGTATATTAATAGTACAACAGACACAGGCATATTTTACTGCTTTAATAATTTAAGTACATTTTCCTGATTATACTCACGTACTTTTACTGCAGTAACATTTTCTATGTTTTATTGTAACAGTATTTTATTTTGCTTCACTGCAGTCTGCATTTTAAAAACATCTTAAAAACATGATGTTGAAGATTTACTGAGGAAAAACTGCATTTCAAAATATTACAGTATTTCGATTATCGAACTTTAAAGTCTGAACAAATGTTACAAACTTTACTGTTTGTAAATCAATAAAATGAACTGCTGTTTGTTGAGTTTTATGTTTAGCCTGAATCTCAATCTAATCATTTTTCTTGAACTAAAAATGTATTTATTAATTCCATTTAGTTCCATTGAGAGAAATTGTGGCGTTTCTCATTTCTGAATTTGAAGAAGACTTTTTCAAGGTAAAGAGGAAATGTTTTTAAGTTAAAGTGCAGGATCTCTGTATGTGTTTTATTTCTCTTCAGGTTTTAAAGTTAATCTACAGTATTGTGCAAAACACTTTCACCATATCCAACCTGTTAAACCTGGTCTGCGGTCTGAGTTAACAGGTTGTGACATGTACAAATATGAACTGCAGTTTGTGTGTGGAAAAATATCTTACTAAAATATCAAACAGACTTGGACCCCTGCAGTGTGTTTGTATATAATACTACAGCACCGACGTTGGCAGAATTAATCTGACGCCTGGCAATAACATCCTTTATATCAAATGAAGAGAATCACGTGGCAGACAGCTAGTATTACTAGTTAGCTTGTAGATTATGATTTTACAAGCGAAACATATAACCTTTAAAATGATGTTCATGGCATTTGTTCCATCCTTCTTATCAAGTTATTTTAGCCCTCCTTAAAACATGTGCAAATATCCATCAGAGCAGTAAAAATAATATTACAGTCTGTTTTCCACTTCGTTTTTGTAGGGGAGACTGGGGATGGTTGTAACACAGGTCAGTTTTAACACATCCAATTTGCCCAATCAGGAACAAGTTCAAATCACTTAATTCACTCTGCACATGCTCAGTTTAGCCCTTATTCCACTTTTGAAAGGTAGCACCTGTGGCAGGTACAGCTAACTTTAGAAGAAAATATTATTTTGAGGTTAAAAAAACAAAACACTTTTGCTATGTAATAGCAATGTAGGAAATATTTGCAGAATTTAATAAAAATTGTATTGGATAAGAATCACAAAGTATCCCTTTAACCCCTAGTTTCTCCAGAGGCGTGTGACCTCTGACCTACAGTGGGTACGGAAAGTATTCAGACCCCTTTAAATTTTTCACTCTTTGTTTGATTGCAGCCATTTTCCAAAAATCAAAAAAGTTCATTTTATTTCTCAGTAATGTACACTCAGCACCCCATCTTGACAGAAAAAAACAGAAATGTAGAAATTTTGCAAATTTATTAAAAAAGAAAAACTGAAATATCACATGGTCATAAGTATTCAGACCCTTTGCCGTGACACTCATATTTAACTCAGGTGCTGTCTATTTCTTCTGATCATCCTTGAGATGGTTCTACACCTTCATTTGAGTCCAGCTGTGTTTGATTATACTGATTGGACTTGATTAGGAAAGCCACACACCTGTCTATATAAGACCTTACAGCTCACAGTGCATGTCAGAGCAAATGAGAATCATGAGGTCAAAGGAACTGCCTGAAGAGCTCAGAGACAGAATTGTGGCAAGGCACAGATCTGGCCAAGGTTACAAAAAAATTTCTGCTGCACTTAAGGTTCCTAAGAGCACAGTGGCCTCCATAATCCTCAAATGGAAGACGTTTGGGACGACCAGAACCCTTCCTAGAGCTGGCCGTCCGGCCAAACTGAGCTATCGGGGGAAGAGCCTTGGTGAGAGAGGTAAAGAAGAACCCAAAGGTCACTGTGGCTGAGCTCCAGAGATGCAGTCGGGAGATGGGAGAAAGTTGTAGTAAGTCAACCATCACTGCAGCAATCCACCAGTCGGGGCTTTATGGCAGAGTGGCCCGACGGAAGCCTCTCCTCAGTGCAAGACACATGAAAGCCCGCATGGAGTTTGCTAAAAAACACTGAAGGACTCCAAGATGGTGATAAATAAGATCCTCTGGTCTGATGAGACCAAGATTGAACTTTTTGGCCTTAATTCTAAGCGGTATGTGTGGAGAAAACCAGGCACTGCTCATCACCTGTCCAATACAGTCTCAACAGTGAAGCATGGTGGTGGCAGCATCATGCTGTGGGGGTGTTTTTCAGCTGCAGGGACAGGACGACTGGTTGCAATCGAGGGAAAGATGAATGCGGCCAAGTACAGGGATATCCTGGACAAAAACCTTTTCCAGAGTGCTCTGGACCTCAGACTGGGCCGAAGGTTTACCTTCCAACAAGACAATGACCCTAAGCGCACCGCTAAAATAACGAAGGAGTGGCTTCACAACAACTCCGTGGCTGTTCTTGAATGGCCCAGCCAGAGCCCTGACTTAAACCCAATTGAGCATCTCTGGAGAGACCTGAAAATGGCTGTCCACCAACGTTTACCATCCAACCTGACAGAACTGGAGAGGATCTGCGAGGAGGAATGGCAGAGGATACCCAAATCCAGATGTGAAAAACTTGTTGCATCTTTCCCAAAACGACTCATGGCTGTATTAGATCAAAAGGGTGCTTCTACTAAATACTGAGCAAAGGGTCTGAATACTTATGATCATGTGATATTTCAGTTTTTCTTTTTTAATAAATTTGCAAAAATTTCTACATTTCTGTTTTTTTCTGTCAAGATGGGGTGCTGAGTGTACATTACTGAGAAATAAAATTAACTTTTTTGATTTTTGGAAAATGGCTGCAATCAAACAAAGAGTGAAAAATTTAAAGGGGTCTGAATACTTTCCGTACCCACTGTATATAGCAATTGAAATCGTTTTGGATAAAAGCGTCAGCTAAATGAAGTCAAAATATAAAAAACATGATTTTTTTAGTTTGGACAACACAAAAAGTACAGTAGAGTAGTACTAGTAGTAATTGTAACTGTAGCACAGAAAATGTTCATAATAACACCTCCACAAAATATTTATTCCAGCACCTTTTTCACCTCATAACACTCTCTGTGTACAAATGTTTTAGTTTATGGTGTTTGTTCTGTTGTTTGTTGAGCTGTTTTGTTTATGCTTCTTCTGTGTACGCACATCGAGAACAATATGAGACCGGAGTCAAATTCCTCGTATGTGAACACATATCTGGCCACTGAAGCTGATTCTGAAAACATGACTCCAGCCTCACAGGTGAAATATCAAAAGTCACATAAAGTCTGAAGAAAATGATGACGTGGTGATAATTTTACGTTTAATTATCCTCAAACATCTCAACAAACACACAGCCTTGTACTGTATTTGTATTGACTTACAGTAATTAATCAGCAGCTACACTCAGTGGCCACTTTATTAGGTACAACTGTGCAAACTAATACAAAGAATTTAAGTTGCTCTTGATGTTGCACACAGAACATTTTACAGACCTCCAGCTGAACAGATTGTAAACAAATATAAACAGAACAGTTATGTTTACAAATGGTAAAAAAATAGATGTGTTAAAAAATATACAGTCTATAAAAAGCAACAATGAACAACAACGTACAATTTCTGTATACAAGTCAAACTGTTTCTGAACATTTTAAACATGAAGGTTGCTGCACCACATTAAGGGACGCCGTCCCTCTGTCCTCTGTCCCTCTGTCCCCCGTGCAGCTTTGGGACTCTGATCCCTGTCCGGTTCATCTTCTGCAGACTAACAGGCAGAAACTAACTCCTCACCAACAGATTGAAATTGTATTTGGCAGGTGAGCTCATCACAAGCAGTCTAGTGCTCAAAGTTATAAACAGCTGATTGATTTCAGAATAAAATAAAAGTGAGCTTGGGACTGGTGGTGCTGTGGGCTCGTACACTCCCATGGAAGAGCGAGGATGTTAAGTGTGTTAGTGTTTTTAGTTAAAACCATTTATCTTCTCTTTTAGTGAAATAGTTCTTTGTGTTTCTGTGTCTCTTTTTTTCCTGTTTCAGGTCTGTTTGTTAATAAATATCTTATTTGTTTGCATATAATCTGTTTCCTGTTTCTTGTGGCCCGGTTTTTATATTTGTTACTCCTCTCTTTACCTCTGGGCCTGAGCCACATGAGGACGTAACAGCTGTTGCTTCTTGTAGTAACTCAGGGGCAGACTGTGAATTATACAGAGACAACCGGGAGGGGGAGTCAACCTTTTTTTTTTTCAGGTCAAAAAGAAAACCCAGTAGAGCGCAGGCTTTTAATACAAAACTCACAGTATCCTCGCTTATTTAACTAATGTATGCAGCCTGTAGATGATGGTAAATCAAATTCATGACATCAGTTCATGGTGCTCCATACCACATGACAACTTTTGTAGTCAGAGGTCAAAACTGCCAGATAGTCAGACACAACAGCAGACCGTCATGACCGCTCAAAACAGACCCACACAATACTGAACCAGAACCAAAGACACTATCATAAAATTATTATAATTATCATTTCAAGTTTTAGCAAATAAGATGTAATCTGCGTTCAATAAAGTAGTCGTCATACACTGTTGGGGAATTAGGAAATAAATGATATTAAACAGAATACTGTCTAGCTCAATATAAAAGTGCAATAAGATGTCGTTTGTTCTGAATTGGCACTATAGAAATAACACTGGATTTTAACGTTTACCTAGCCAGGTACAACTCCTGAATTCTACACTGAAAACAAATATCATTTTACTGTAGAAAGACTCACAAAATACTTTAAGGTAAAATAATAAACACTATATTGGCTTTAAAATGTGTATCTACGATAACTAATCCTTTATTTTACTGCTCATGCCTGAGCACCAGTGTTGGCTAACAATTACATAAAATATGGATATAGTGGTAATGAAATGACTCGGGGGGCTCTCAGCTAGCTAACATCACTTAGCTCATTTAAAGTAAAATACATGCTAATTACGAAACTCTGAAGGCGGGAAGTTAAGTGTATTAAACAAGCTAGATAGCTAACTACTGACATTAAACTGCAGCGTTTCCATTAACGTGTGATGCACTGTGCATGGAGCAGCTGCGAGTTAATGTTCAACTAACGTCCGTGTTAGGACATGGTGTGGTCCAATTCTAGGTCAGATATCATACTTCAGGATTCTTGAATTTAAGGCCAGAGTATGTGAAATCTATTGTAATATTTACAATGACAGGTAAGAAAGAGCCTCCTGAATTGTTGTTTTGCCCTTTGAGGGGGTCAAACCCCGTAATTCGAACCATGCTCGGGGTTCATTATGGAGTCAAACTTTTGCTTCTTCCTCTCTCGTCAAACCTTTCTTCAAGTTGATCTTTCTACAAATAAGTTAACAGAATTCACTGGTGAAAAACATCAAAGTGAAACTAAAGACAAACTATCATTTATGCATCTTCAGAATAAAGAACAAAATAAATTCATCCAGCAAACACAAGCCTTCATTTGATTTGGTCAGATTCTCTGTTTATTTTCTGACTACTGAACTGATCTTTTTCTACTAGTTGTGCATGATGTTACACTCTGCTTGTGTCTTATTTAGGTCGACATTTTAGCCGAGACATGGAGGACCGATCCTGACACAGTCAGAAATAAATACAGAAATAAATAAATGCTCAATAAATAAATAAGCATCCAATTAAATACACAAAAAATAAAGTAAATAAATAAATGTAGGTAGTAATTAAATTATACAAGGAGACATAAATGTATATATTTTAATTACTGCCTTTACTTATTCACCTTTGTTATAATTACCTTATTTATTTATTCTCCGTTATAATCTTCAACTTTATTTATTAATTACTTATTTTTTAAATGTATTTATTTATGTGTGTGTTTTAATATTTTTGTATATAATATTTTTGTTTTATTCTTCCTTTGTATTTTTTTACCTTATTTATTTTCACCCATGGTATTTATTTCTGCCTGTCCTTTTTAAATTTCTGTATGCATTTCTGCCTCATTATGCAAATGAGGAGGGGCTGTGTCTCAAGGGGTGAACTTCTGCCCATTGGTGGACCAGTCAGACAGGAGAGCTCTAGGCCTACTCTGCCTGCAGACATCAACGAGCTGCTCTTCACACAGTCAGATGGCTTCCTTCAGTGCGCTGAGGTGTTTAGCACTCTGTTTGAAGACAATACTACCAGCCATGTCTTCCTTCTCTTTTCATGTGGACACTCTGACCTACAGAGTTTTCAATTAGTGACTTATACGTACACAGAACTGCAGGAAAGTGAGCTGTTGTTTCTGAGAGCCACATCAGTTAGCCGCAGCTAAATCTGGAGTGCACTCCTATTCGAGTATTTACGGTAAACGCTCCCACACGGAGCAGCTCGTTGCTCTGCTGTTATCAGCTGCTGTTTCAACAAAAACACCATTCAGGGTGAAAATTCAACCGTGGTGTTGTGTCGGGAGATGCAGTGACTTCACCAGCGCAGCGGTGAGTATTATGAATAATACATGTAATCTGTTAAGCTATTAGGAGAGTAAAAGTCCGTTAGCCGCTAGGCTAATTTATGTAGTGCTAACATCATATAGGCTAAAGCTCTTGAGCTAGTGGTGGTAACAAATAAACTAATCTTAACAGTTACCATTAAGAAGAATTTTATGCTTCTGTTAAATGTGATTGCTATTAAGCCGTGTTTTGTGTGGTGGTGAAGTCAATTTAAAGTTAACTTTACTGCATTTAACCAGTCGAAATGATTTAATGAAGGCTAACGTTAGTTACTGTACTTCTATGTCTCACACAGAAAACACAGGAGGAGGCATGCGGAGAACATAACCATATTCTTCAGAGGAAAAGAAGAAGGAGGAGACTCTGACTGCAACATGCGTCTTTGTAAAGAGAAACGAACAGAAAAAGCCTCTAACTCTGCCTGTCAGCTCGCTCTGCTCCGTTAAAACTGAATTTACCATACAGAATTGAATACGAGTGCACTCCAGATTTAGCTGCAGCCAGCTGACCATGTGCTTCTCCCTATACCGCAGTTCTGTGTCCATGCATGCAGCAAACTGAAAGCACTGTCTGTCGGAGTGTCTACATGAAAAGAGAAGGAAGACATGCTGGTAGTGTCTTCAGAGTTGTTAAACACCTCAGCGCACTGAAGGAAGCCATCTGACTGTGTGAGGCAGATCGTTGATGTCTGCAGGCAGAGTAGGCCTAGAGCTCTGATGGTCCACCAATAGGAGAGAAGATGACCCCTTGAGACACAGCCCCTCCTCATTTGCACAATGAGGCAGAAATGCATACAGAAATGTAAAAAGGACAGGCAGAAATAAATACCATGGGTGAAAATAAATAAGGTAAAAAAATACAAAGGAGAATAAAACAGACAAAAATATTAAAACACACACAAATAAATACATAAAAAAAAATTGTAATTAATAAATAAAGTTGAAGATTATAATGGAGAATAAATAAATAAGGTAATTATAACAAAGGTGAATAAGTAAAGGCAGTAATTAAAATATATACATTTATGTCTCCTTGTATAATTTAATTACTACCTACATTTATTTATTTACTTTATTTTTTGTGTATTTAATTGGATGCTTATTTATTTATTGAGCATTTATTCATTTCTGTATTTCTGCCTGTGTCAGGATCGGTCCTCCATAGAGACAGCAGTTCATTCACTGAAATGTTTGCAGCTTGTCCTGCAGTGCAAAATGATTTAAATGTGAACTCATTGTGAAACAACTCATCTGTATTCAGTACAGATGATATACTTACCCCGACAAAGTTCCATTGCTCTGTGTCTGGTCTCTCTGTCCAAAACACATCATCTGTCCAACACACATCATCATCATCATCATCATCATCAGGTGAAGGCAGACGGTGTTTTCTTACCTTTTTACATTTTTTTTTTACAAAAGGCCTGCTGCCAGAACTACAACCAAAATGGCTCCAACCACCACACCTTCATTAACACCTGTGTCACCAGTTTGACTCCCTGAAACAGAAAAAGATTCAGTTTAGTGAAATTTCTACTAACCAAACTTCCACGAGTGGACTGACTGATAATTCCTGTAGCATCAACATGTGAGGTTGCAGTCTGTTAATAATGCTAATATGTTCATATTGTCAGGTGGGAATCACACCTTCAGTGTCTGTTTCAGGAACTTCTGGAGAGTTTTAGACTTTGTTCACTTTTCTATTTCACAGAGCAGAAACATCTTCTTTTGTACAAACATATGAATCCACAAGGTTTCCTCACATTGATCACTCAGACTCTTTATGGTACTCTAGAGGCCATCTGAATACTGAATATCTTTAATTTCTCACTTACGTCAGGCACCATGTGGTTAAACTTCTAGTTAAGAAACCACACCATGATCTCAGAATAATTATCGACCATCCTCTTACCTTCCAGTTGTTTCAGAAGTATTAGAACATATTGTGCCTCAGCAACTCTTTCAGGACCTTTTGTTCCACTGAAACTGCACTCACTAATGTGCTGAATGATTTTCTGCTCACTATGGCTTCTGATTTCTGCTCAGTTTCCTCTGTTACTGGATCTCAGTGCAGCTTTTGATAACACAGATGACTGTATACAGCTAGACAGAGTGATAAAATGAATATGACGGCTTCAGTCTGGTTCTCTAGTGGTTTCCTATAAAATATTACATCAGGATGTTCTGATGTAGTACCTCAGGGCTCTGTTCTTCATATAAAATAAAACAATAAATGAATAAACAGATCCAAACACTTGTGAATCAAATAATATAGAAACACACATTGAGACACTGTCAGATAATAAAGGGTTTGATGTGTTTGTTTACTAAATTAGTTTGCAGTATCCAAACTACTAGTGAAAAGGTAAAAATGGTTTTAGCAGTAGTTTGTTGTTGTGTAGTTGCAGGAATCTTTTAAATCAGTGCAGACACCAACCTGGTTTATTGGTTTAGTTGACAGATTAGACGTAATACTCACTCAGTTCCCTCAAAGTGGTCTCCTCCTGTTCCTGCGAGTGCTGACGGTGCAGCTGTAGACCAGATCAGTAACCCTGTCTGAAAGTATCAGAGAGCTGTTGATGTTGTAGAGCAGCTGTTCAGTCTGCTGGACTCTGGTTGTGTTCTTGAAGGCCACGTTGGACGGAGGTCTGGTGGACCAGGTGAGTTCAGGCTCAGGGTAGATCCCCTCTGAGCTGCAGGTGATCCTGTTTTCTTCCTGCTCCATGTCGACTTTATGGACCGGAGCTGCAAAAACAGAGATCCTGATGTGATACGGATGAACTCACTTTCAATTTGACGGCACATATGCTAAATTTAGAAATGTACTGATCATAAAGAAAACACAAGTTGATGGTTTTGTGTATCTACTGTGTGTTTCTCGTACCGTCCACTTGTAGGTTGATAAATGATTCCTTGTTGGCAGCGATGGTGCTGGTGTAGCACTTGTATCTCCCCTGGTCCTGAACCTGGACCCCAGTCAGCTGGAGCGAGGCGTTTCCTCCGGAGATCTGGTCCTTGAACAGTGATGTCCTGCCTCTGAAGCGCTGGTCCTGGCGTCCCAGCTGGTCTTGGTTGTGGTAGTAGGAGTGGACAAGAGTGTCTCCTGCTGTCACATGAATCCAGAAGATGACAACATCAGTGCTGCTCTGGAAGCTGCACGGTAAGATGCAGCTCTCCATAAAAACACAGGACACCTCAGCATCTGCAACACATCAGGTACAAACAACATCTTTATTTTGTAAGTTAGGAAACAATAAATGAAGGCTTTAGTTGGTTTACATACACAGATTCAGGGATGGGACCAGGCCAAGTCGTCACATTTGGAGACTTGGTATCAGTTTGTAATGCACTGGGCACCTTTGCGTCATAGTTGAGCGCACTGGGGAAAGCCCTGTAGTTTTTGAACGCTAAAGGTAGGTGTATAATTCAAAACAGTGAAGTCCGAGTAAGGAGACGGTTGGGTGGACGGAAGAGCCAGAAACTGGACTTTCATGTAGGAAACCAGTGTTTGTTTCTTGTGTGAAGCAAAAAGTGTTGCGTAGGTTGTGTAAGTTGCATAAGTTACACATGTGTTTTACCATGAAGAGAGCAAGGGTGTAGATTCCATTTCAACATATCAAGTCTTGGTGTCACCCCCAGGAAATTTATATACTTTAAATCCTGCATTTCTGGTGAGAGAGGTCAAAAACTGTGTGGCTCCACGCTCTGCTTGGCTGACTGTCTACTAAGGTAACGTCCCAACGTTCTCGCAAGTGGCCATTGAAGGTGCATGCAGTTAAAGGGAAAAGACGATGACAGTCCTCCATTCCCCAAATATTACCAGTGTAATACAAATGCACTCTAAATAATCCACACACATTTTAAGTGCTAGTAATCAAACAATTAACTCCTTGCGCTACTGTAAATATTAACTGCATCAACTTGTAAATACTGTAAATATTCCTTCTGCATAAATTAATCATGTAAATTACTATTCACACATAAATTTAAATTATTTATCACTAAACTGAATTTAGGCTCCTAAATGTCTTTTTATGTGAAGGAAAACACAAAACAGGTATCAGGTGACTATTATAGTGGAATATTAAAGCTGCAAGCAGCTTCAGATAGGCCCTCGCCCCCTGATGAGCGTTGGGGTGTGCTGTGGCTGCGCTGCAGAACCCTTAGCAGCATGGACGTCTTTAGGCCTGTTTTAGGGGGGCTGAAGCTACCCTACCATGGTCCTAGGCCCCCCCCCCAAATAATGATAAGAAAAATAATTATTAGATTTAGATTTTTTCTTTTAAGTGCAGACATGTACTCAACAAAAAGAAGCAAGAATATTGATAAACACAGAATAATAGACAGAATAATACAAATATAATTTGTATACTGGCTTAAAATAATCGTTCTGGTTGTTTCCTCTGCTTCACAATTTAAATCCCTGCTCTGGTCGGGCACCAGGACCCTGAGGGAGGCTGCATTTTATCGCTTTATCCGAGCTGCCGAACAACATTACTACACACCAGTCTATGCTACACACACACAGTGACACACAGAAATGGTGAAGGAAGAATTGATTCAGCGAAGTGAGTGATACAGAGTGAAACTGTAAGTTGTTGTTAGTGACGGGTACTTGCTGAACTCAAGCAACGTTTACTTGAGATAAAGGAAAGAGGATATTTATTGGGCTTTGGAAAACACTAGTGTTGGTAATGTGAACGCCATTAATATAACCTCTATAAAGTCGCCTATTTCTAATCAATATCAGCATGTTGTTGTCAGTGAAAACTAAATGTCATAGTGTTAATGCTGTTGTATATCCTTCATTTACAGACCAGACACATGTGATATTTTTGGAGAGAGAGAAGCCGGACATTGGCAGGGATACAGGTCTGCAGTGGTCTACAGGTCAGTGGTGGTCTACAGGTTAGTAGTGAGGTACAGGTCAGTGGTGGTCTACAGGTTAGTAATGGTCTATGGGTCTGTAGTGGTCTACAGGTTAGTGGTGGTCTACAGGTTAGTAGTGGGGTACAGGTCAGTGGTGGTCTACAGGTCAGAAGTGGTCTATGGGTCTGTAGTGGGGTACAGGTCAGTGGTGGTCTACAGGTCAGAAGTGGTCTATGGGTCTATAGTGGTCTATGGGTCTGTAGTGGTCTACAGGTCAGTGGTGGTCTACAGGTCAGAAGTGGTCTATGGGTCTGTAGTGGTCTACAGGTCAGTGGTGGTCTACAGGTCAGAAGTGGTCTATGGGTCTGTAGTGGTCTACAGGTCAGTGGTGGTCTACAGGTCAGAAGTGGTCTATGGGTCTGTAGTGGTCTACAGGTCAGTGGTGGTCTACAGGTCAGTGGTGGTCTACAGGTCAGTGGTGGGGTACAGGTCAGTGGTGGTCTACAGGTTAGTAGTGGGGTACAGGTCAGTGGTGGTCTACAGGTTAGTAATGGTCTATGGGTCTGTAGTGGTCTACAGGTCAGTGGTGGTCTACAGGTCAGTAGTGGTCTACAGGTTAGTAGTGGGGTACAGGTCAGTGGTGTCTACAGGTCAGAAGTGGTCTATGGGTCTGTAGTGGTCTACAGGTCAGTGGTGGTCTACCGGTCAGAAGTGGTCTACAGGTCAGTGGTGGTCTACAGGTCAGTGGCGGGGTACAGGTCAGTGGTGGTCTACAGGTTAGTAGTGGGGTACAGGTCAGTGGTGGTCTACAGGTTAGTAATGGTCTATGGGTCTGTAGTGGTCTACAGGTCAGTGGTGGTCTACAGGTTAGTAATGGTCTATGGGTCTGTAGTGGTCTACAGGTCAGAAGTGGTCTACAGGTTAGTAGTGGTCTACAGGTCAGTGGTGGTCTACAGGTTAGTAGTGGTCTACAGGTTAGTAGTGGTCTACAGGTCTAAGAAAATGTGGGCTGTTTTGTTTTCTTCTATCTACAGCCATTTGTTGGCACATCTCGGCACCAAGGCAGAGTCCAAACTAAATTATTTCATGATGTTTATACTATTTGCTAAATTCTGACCCACTTAACTTTCTGCATTCATCAGCTGTAATAAATTAAATAAACATGTAGATGTTGCCTAAATGTTGGCCAGGCTATACATGAGCATATACTCACAGATATACACACATGACAATATAATAAAATGAAAGCAATCATACATACAGTACATGCATTCATACAAAAAGTAATCATTACTCCAAATATTTTATTCCTTCCACTATCAGGCTATTAAATTCAGAAAGTAGCCACTTTAAATAGGATCTTTATCAACAGCTTAGGTATGCATGTTTGTATGGAAGCCAAACTACAGACCAAAATCACACTCTGATTGAACCAAGTGCAGTAACAGTAATTAGTGTAATTAAATATCATTCTTTGGACCTGCAACTAATTTATTAGATATGAAATGACTTTATCACATTTACATGAGCAGCTGGACAACATTTAATTCACAGCCTACAGAAGAACTCAGTCTGGCCTTTTTGGAGGGAATAACATCTTATTAAAGTTTAAAGGATGCTGAAAAAAAGTCCCCCTCACACACACATTTCATTTTAAGCAGTTGGTCCGTGTCTGGAGTTGCAGTTGTTAATAAGTAACTGTTGTACAACATCACACTGTCAGACTGCAAAGCTCAGCTTATTTGGCTTGTGTAATATCTTTGTCTTCGCTTCTTTTCTAACGCGGTATAAAGGCTCTGAAGGAAAATCTTCACTCACCTCCTTCTGCAGGAGACAACATCCAGAGAAAACTCCAGACCACCAGAGACACAGAACAGCCGACCACCATCATCTCCTGGATCCTGAAAAATGAGCAACAAGGTCTGACATGTGGAAGCCAATCATCCTGTTAGCTGCTAGAGAAAACACAGACCTGCTTGGCACCAAACTGTCATAGTTGGTTTTTTTTAGCTTACCTGTACATGTTTGATCTTGCTTGTAACCACTCCTGTTATTCTCCTGCTGCCTGGTTTGTCTTCACTTCTCTGAAGTCAGTTTCCTGTAAAACATTTGATGGTTCTCATCTGTGAAGATTTGCTGCTTTTCCTTTGAATGATTGTAGATCAATTAATAATTCCATGATGTGGTCGTTTTAGACGACCAAACAACAAATTAAAGTTCTTCACTTCGGACACATCTTCATTCTGTATGCTTCAACATGGAACTAAATTTTCCATATTATGTTTTCTATGATCCTACATCAACAACATTTCCTTCCTTGTTTAAACAGACTCCTGTATGGTTATCACTTTAAGGGTACTGGTTTTGTTACTGGTGTTGTAAAATTTTAATCGATACCCCACCCTACAGTTATAGCTGATGTGTGTTTTTTTATGGGTCAATACAAGTAGAGGTAATTTAGCCTACTGTTGCTTTATAGACTTACTTTGGGTAGGCGGGGTTTCTACAACAAAGATTTCTGGGCAGCCCCCAATGTTTCAAGAGGCAAAAGCCCCTGGTTATAACCATCTTACAAATTCCATTTGCAAAATATAAAACGTGATTTTACACAAATCAAAGTTCTGTATA